AGAAACGGGTCATGGGCTTCTGATGGGAATGGAATTGGCAAAAGTAGTGGTTATGAACATGGAGATTATCATCATGGTCATGGTGTTGGAGATGATGATGATGATGATGATGATGATGGCGGTGATGATGATGACATCGTTCCCCCACATGAATGGCTTGCCAGGAAGCTTGCAAGGAGCCAGATTTCTTCATTTTCTGTGTGTGAAGGGATAGGAAGGACCCTCAAGGGCAGAGATCTCAGCAGAGTGAGGAATGCTGTTTTGACAAAAACAGGTTTCCTTGAGTAATGTTATACCATACCACCAACACCAAATCATCATCATCATCGCATACATTGCATAACAGTATAGATGATCATATCCATAATGGTCATCATCACCCTCATCACTCCATGGGTCCCATGAAACCTTTTTTTTTTTTCTTAGTTTATGTGCTGTAGACGATTATAGTATTAGGTTGATCTTGGAAACTAGAATCCCTCGAAGAAGTCAGAGGACTCAGAGCTGCCTTTTGTTTTGGTTTCTCAATATATATGAGGATAGTTTCCAGCGTCTGAGATTTTTGTCCATGAGTTTAACAGGATTGCTGTTTTGTGTGTAGAGTTCTATTGCACCTGTAACAGCAGAAGGAAATTAATTAAATCTTGTTTGGGATGGCTGCTTCGCATTCATCATTTGATAATATTAAAATTTTTGTTGTAGCTTTATATTAATACACTCTCCTCCTCTTTTTTCTCCTTTCTCTCTTTTTCTTTTCTTTCCTTTTGTGTTCACTGGTTGAAACTCAAGAGATGAAGTCATTAAGCTACACAATGTCCACATTTGGCCTCCTAACCCACCACATTGACATTTTTGCTTACCATTGTATATTTTTAAAGCAAATGAAGCGAGGGCCGTAGCTTAGTTGTTGCAATCATTGCTTAAAAAAAAACGATGAAAGAAGAAAAGTTAACACTATCATTTATTATATAATTCAACATCACATGTATATACCTATGAATTCCCTTTAGCCAATTTCTGATCAAACTAACAAAGCTTTTAGAGCAAGGAACATGCTATGTTAGACTTTTTTAGGTAATATTTTCAGTCAATGAAAAAATTGATACTTTTGTATATTTTAGACATTTTAGCTAGAAATATTTAATATAGTACGGATAACTTCACGCGTGACATTAAAATCTTTATTGTAATTTGAAAATTTCGAATTTATTTGCTTTCTATTGATTGAAGATACTATTGACATAATTTCTTTTACACTACAGAAACTTTGCAGAACCAAAGGTCACTACCGGCTTATAAAGTTGAAGAATATAATTGTCCTGTACAAGGACAGATTCTCTTGATTTATAATGGTATCACAATCTAGAACAAAACTCTAACTGGGTACAAAGATATTGTGGATGCATCCCTTTTCCCCGACATGAATCCCAATAATATTTTCCCCCAAAATTTTTCCTAAAAAAACATCCACTTCTATCTCTATTCTTCTTCTTCTTCCCTTTGTTTTTTTTTTTTTTTTTTTTTT